TACATCATATTTTTCATGTTTTGGACTAGTTTGTAAAATGATGATATTTTTCATTGGGAAGTCCTTTTTTGATTACCAGTCATTGTACATGTTTATTATCATCGGTCTACAATCATTCCCAAAGTTTTACATTTTTTGGAATTTATTGCATATTTTTAAACAGGCGTTTTAAATCAGCTCTAAAAACCGAGTTTTCTGTGGAATGCAGTTTCGGTCGACCCGGTACGGTTCGACGGTCAATTGAATCATTCGTCAGTATTTTTCCAGAGAATCGTCCGGTCGACCGTCCGCGTCGACGAGAGCGCAAATCGGTCGACCGACAGAATTTCCGGCTCGACCGACGTTAGTCCAGAAAGTTTTCTTCGTGTTGCTCTCATCGGTCGACCACGGGATTTCGGTCGACCGACAATATAGCCAGTTGTCTTTTAACGGGCTCTTTCTCTGAGCTGTTTGCTGGGCGTTTTGGTCATTTTGTTTTTGGGGGTTTTTGCTGAGATTTCGCTAGTGGTATATATACCCCAATTGCTGATGTCTTTTGAAACTGCTTAAGGAGAGTTTAAAAAACAAGTTAAGAAAGTTTTAATCAAGCGGTTTATGTTTCTTAAGTGTGTTTATAAGCTTTAAGCATTGAGTGTTTTGGTTTTGCTGAACTCACTTCCACAAGAAGCTTGAGGAGATATCTACTGTGTGTTTTGAGCATCCAACTTTCTCCTTTCCACTCTTGATCTATTGCAGAAAGTTTTCTAAACTCAATCTTAGCTTCCATATTTTATATTGTTTATCTTTTTATAACAGCAAGTTTACGTGATTTTATTATCTCTTGTTCACACACAACCTATTGAGCTTATTGTATTTACATTCATAGTATAATTTAGGGTTCGTGGCGTTTGTGCTAAGAGGTGTGCCTAATTTGATTCTCACCTTGTAAAGAAGAACACATCATTTGTATATTGAGCTAATTGTGAGAATCACATTGTAATACATTACACGAGTGGAGAAGTGTGTGGTGAGAGTCGGGCGTGATCGTCCTCCCAAGAGGAAGGTGGCGTCGGTTCGACGTGCTATGGGAGAGGATTGTAACCGGCACTTGAGGGGACACGGCTTAGGTCCAAACTTAGTGGGTGTAGGAGTGTGATGTGCATAGTCGTGAGGTTGTAGAGTTTTCGCTTAACTTAGAAAACCGAGGTGTGTTAGAAAAGTTCCGGCTTCCAAACCGGGATACGTGTTTAGTGCGATTTCTCCCGCGCGAGTGTGGAGCGGAGACGCTAGGACGGAAGTGTCGAACTCCGGTGATCATATCTTGTGTTTGAGTGTGCTTTGTGCGTTTATTATACTTGTGTTTATATTTCGTTATCGCATTGTCATTAGCTCTGTTATTATATGATCCACTATCTACGTCAATTGTTTACCCTTGTGTTAGTTTATATATCCTTGCATATATATATATTTCATCATATCAGGATATATTCATTGTTTACATTGCTTATCCTAGCTACATAATTCTTGTGGTATTCATAACTTGCTAGGATAACTTGTTAATTAATTTTAATGGATTTAACGGATTAATAGATAAGACCCTATCACCCCCCCCCCCCTCTTAGGGTCTAAACAGCATGTTAGACATCAAAATAATCTGAAATGATCAAGCCGCGAATCAGAATCAACAAAAATTTCAGTCACTGGTATATGAGCGCTGGTGGATATAGAGATTGTTGTGTGAGTGAAAAGGCTATGCCAGGAACTTGGTTGATGAATCAAGGCGTTTACGTCCTCGGCGAAGTTGATGCTTCAGCGATTATGAAATATTTTTCAAGGCATGGTTGCAGAAAATTCAGGTTTCGATTTTTGATATTGAATTGGATGATGAAGATCATTTGAAAAATATATTTTGGGCAGATGGTAGGAGCAGAGAAGCTTACAAAGAGATTGGTGAGGTCGTCACTTTTGAAACCACATACTTAACTAATAAGTATGATATACCATTTGCACCATTTGTTAGCGTTAATCATCATGGGCAATCAATTTTACTTGGATGTGGGTTGATTTCAAAAGAAGACACAGAGACTTTCATATGGCTATTTACAAAGTGGGTTGAATGCATGGATGGATGTGCTCCGCAAGGGATAATAACTGACCAAGCAAGAGCCATGAAAAATGTAATTGAGATTGTTTTTCCAAACACTAGACACATATGGTGTTTGTGGCATATAATGAAGAAGCTGTCAGAAAAGTTAGGAAGGTACACTGAATATGAGGTCATCAGTTCGACCATGAAAGGAGTGGTGTATGACGCACAAAGTCCACAAGAGTTGACAAACAAGTGGAATGAAATGGTTGACACATGTATGGGATTGTGAGGATTGTGATTGGTTAGGTGAATTGTTACGAGCGAGAGAATCGCATGGTTTCCTATGTTTTGCTCAAAAATTGTTTTGGCCGGCAGGGAATGTCAACTTTACTCAGCGAAGTGGAAAAGCCATGAATGCTTTTTTGATGGATATGTCAACTTTCAAAAACAA